ATCATTATATATACACATTTTGCACAATGTTATGTTATTTGTGTTTTTTAGATTGATCCCGAATTGTCATTACGTTGAGGGATACACTTTTCACTGCACCAGAAATGTTCTATTTGTGATAATTGGTAGCGCCAATACACCTTGATTTCTTTGTATTTTGTATTCACTATCCCTCACCAGGTGTTTTTCTAATATGGATGTTTTTGATAACCGAAAGAATTGGCAAAACCAGGTTACACATAAATTTTGTACAGAATCTGAAGCTTTAAATCCTAAGGGTGATGATTTCGATTTTACTTGTAGTAAACTTGAAAAACTTTTCATTAAAGAAATAAAAATTAGTGGGACATTTCTGTGACAGATCCATCTGTCAAAGTACTATTTGCTGGTTCGTCTATTTTGTATACATTCATGGAATTACCTGCCCGTATGTCCCTGTTCGTTTATTTCCAGTTATACCGAATAAAACTACCGAACGGACTGCCACCCAGAAGAGAAGTGTGCTGCTGGTTAACCTATTGGCTTCAATGAGAACGTTGTGGTTAACCGCAGACACCTCTACATGCCAACCGTATGCAGGGTGGTCGTCGTTCGTATGCTGACCACTAGGCGGCAGCCATTTTAACCACGCGAATGAACAGCGGTGTTCGACAAGGAACTTATGGAACTCCAAACGGACACTTTTTTTGCTGAACACCGCTGAAACTGCTGACCGCCCTTCTTGTCATTGGGCATGCGAACACCGGTCCGTTCGGGACTTTTATTATACAAATGGACTTAACCCAGATAGCCGTCCCATGGAGTCAATCATATACCGAAAGAACAATGTGAAAGACTTTGACTCCATGGCGATTGAACTGTGTGCATTGGGTCTGAGCGCTATTCGGTAGTAATGTGCGCTCAGATCCAGGCTATCTGGCGATATGTTACACAAATTAAATGCATTTGGTAGTTTTACAGTTATGGATTTTTATGTGTTTTTATTATACCATGTAAAATGGCGGTTTGCCTCTATCCCTGGAGATAATTGGATTTAAGGGGAGTGTTTATACCTGAGCCACTGTGATTGGCTACTGTACATTATGTGTACCAGTCTTCCATCTGGTCCCCTAGGGGAGTGTCCACCAGGTGGGAGACCTGCATAAATACCGTGCAGGTAGCCCTCATTAAAGCAGATTCCTGTTTTACCCTCAAGACGGATCTTGGTCTCGTGTTTGGGGGGATTGCTACTTGGAAGTATTATTTCGCCTGTTTTAGGAGAGAAGGAGTTCGGCTGATTCTTTGTTCAGGAGTTTGAAGCATTACCTTATACTCCATTCGGGAGTTTGGCGGTCTACAGCAACAGCGCCTGTGTCTCTAAAGGGGGAAGATCAACTAAATGGCAGTTTCAATCATTTAAGCTGGGAGTGTCTTAACAATTTTTACTATGGAAAAATATTTGGAAGAAAATATAACCCCTAGAGGATTAAGATTCTTCAAAACACCCACTTTTGATAGGGATGATATGGAATTTATGGACATCTGGAATTCGGCATTAGAATCTCTTTCCGTATGATGAAAATCATTATCCAACAAAGGAAACGGAATTTGCAAATTGTCCAGAAATTGAAAATTCATTAAAATTGTTTGAAAATAATGTGGAAAAAGTAGAAAATAATACTCTAAAGATTAAGAAAAAGAAATACTCCAGAGATAAATATGATTATGCCCAGGTGAGGTCCTATTCACGTAAGTTCTAATCACGTAATAATTCCAAGAGGGATGAGAACTTTGGTAGAAATAGACCTTATAAATCCTTTCAAAAAACACCAAGAGTACAGAATGCTAAAAATGGTAATCCTAATTTCATCCCAACCCAGAATAAGTTTAATGTTTCCTCACCAGGATGGCAATCTGCTCGTAGAGGTAAACCTAAATCTATTCCATCTAGACCCACATTTGAACATATTAATAGGTTCTAACCCCTTGCACATAATTCATCAAACCACTCGAATTTGCCCTTGTCCCCCAACCCTGCTACTTTTTTAGATCGGGATTTGGCCCCACGGACCAACAAAAATTCCCTAAAGAGGGCATGGGTTCAAGGAGAAGGGGAAGCCGAGCTGGACGACCTTATGGAAACAAGAAAAAAGGAGAAAACCAATCCTTAGGAATTTTTAATTTATCTGATACTGTTTTAACTAAGGATGAAATAGATGTATTAAATAAGGGTTTACAATTTGCACTCACGGTTGTGACACACGCTGACGGCATGACGTAGGACGTGAAGACGTGTGTGCCGTGAGGGAAGGGAATAGCTGATAGTGAACCACATGTGAAAGAAACTGCCAAACAACCATTCCTCAGCCCAACCGCGAGAGCAACGCTAAATGCTAAAGTGGATGCCCGCAAGACTTTCCTCTAAATTTCTCCAGTAGATCGACCTTCCTGGTGACATACTCAGGCATTCACTCGACAGAGAACACTCACCTGTGCTCTTTGATGGAGGCTGTTTTTGGCGTCCGGTGCCTTGCCTGGCGGTGGGGCTTTGGGAGCGGTTTCCTCTCGGGCTGCTTGCCTTTTGGTCGCTCCCCCTGTGGGCTAAATAGATGAGAAGATAAAGACATTTCAAAGGTACAATATTGTAACGGCTACCCAGGTAGTAAGAGGGTATCAGTCGTTGGAGACGTCCTTTTCTTCCCGGCAAGTCGCTGTATAGTAATGGAGTCAATTATTCCCATCCACTGGATCCAAGGCAGGAGTCAGGTAGAGCTCTTAAAAGAGCTAAGTGATTATGCTGCATATTCCCTTTCAAGAATGAGACAAGGCTACGTTCTGAAGGGTCAAGAAGAACTGGCTTTTAATGACAGGCACTCTCTTTTTATGTGATTCTGCCCATGCAAGGAAGACACCCACATAATTAACAAAACAACCAATAAACATAAGTTACATCCCACACATCTCCTCCCCTCAGATAAACTTATAACACAATTAACAAGGACACATTTTTCCCCAAGTTTTGGATGTACCCCGGTGTCCCCAGATAGCCCTATTCTGGGGGACCAACATAGTAAAAATTCAACTCATTCGATTCAGCGGTTCGGGACAATTTCCCGGTGCTATGGAGGTCTCAGCGGTGTTCGCCTACTCGAGTGTCCGATTTTAGTTCCAGACACTCGACGGCAAAGTCCCCATAAAATAAGTTAGGCTCCTCCATTTGTTACAAATATCTTCATTATTTCTTATGCAAAAACTAATGAACACACTTAAAAGAAAAAGTTTAATTACTTTACTAGCCATATTTGATCCCTTATACCCTGACTATACTCTGACTCCCTGTGCAATAAGCTGCTTTCCAAATACTGAAGCTAGCAACTCAATATAAAAGCACAAGTGAAAGAGACAAGTAAAAGGAAAAAAAAGAGGAAGAAAAACCCCAAATAAAGGAAAAATAAAGAGGCAAGGAGACCACAAAAGTTAACAAAGAGAGGTCGACAAAAATAAAAGGGAAAGAAAAAGAAGAGAACGAGAAAAGGGACAAGGAAAGAGAAGGGAAGGGAAGGAAGAAAAAAAGAGAGAAAAAAAGGGAGATAAGAAAGAAAGGGAAGGGGAAGGGAATAGAGAAGAAAGGAAAGAGAAGGAGAAGAAGAAAGGGGAAAAGAAAAAAAAAGAGGGGACACAAAAAAGAAAAGGAGGATTAAGGAAATAAAAACTTAACATTGAAAAAGGAAAATCAGAGGTGAACCAAGGAGACCAACTGTAAAATCAAGAATTTTGGAAGGCTGGTCCGATTAAGAACTAAAAGCGGAGGAGGGTGAATGAGGGAGAAATTGAGGAGAATGGAAAGAGAATTACCCAATAATGGCATCTAAACTCTCTCAAGACCCAAAAATTTCCACAAAACCGAAAAAAAAACCTGCTAAACAAAGGAAGAGACTATCAACTTTTTTCTCTTCTCAAAAGACCCAGGTGACTAATGACGATCAATCTCTTGACTCCTCCTCTACAACAGCTCTCCCTCCTTAAGAATCAACTAATATTACTACAGAAACAATTAAATATCTCCTGGACAATACTCTTAAAGAAATAATTCAAAAAAAATTCAAGACAGCTCCATAGATCTTAAAAATGATATTTCCAAAGTGCTTATCCGAATCCAATCTATTGAAGAAAAAGAGGAACATATGGAATTTCAATTCCAAACTTTTAAAGATATACAGAGCTTAAAATCATCTCACTGGAAGCGAAAATAGGTGACTTGGAAGATCGCGCTCGCAGAACAAATTTAAGGTTTAGAAACATTCCAGAAAATATAACTAACAAAATTTAGAGACTTTTTGAAGGAATTTTATTTTGCTCTCAATCTATCAATGGACTCTAATGATATCAAAATGGATCGATGCCACAGAATTTTCAAACCATTTAATGTTAAAAATAATTTTCCAATAGATGTCATAGTCTCCTTTCATTCATTTGAAACTAAGAATCATATTTTAACATCATTAAAAAAGAACAAACCGGGGTCCTCAGCGGGCACAAAAACGGCAACTAAATTGGGCTGAAGTGCCTCTAACCTCCGGCAAACAGGCCCACTGGACAGGGAAGATCAGCCCAAACCCAGCAATACCGAACTTGCCACCCGGGGTAATCTGGCACTGCAACAGCAGCATGGGAGGCGGGAGGTGGCGGAGAAAGGTGTCCGATTTCCCGCCAGCAGCACACAGCCATACACGAGCCTGGAACACTCCCTCCCCCCCGCCATGGACCAGTGGGGGACATCCCGGTCCCCGCCCAATGGAGGACCTCGCGCTCGGCACCCTCTGACTATGGCCGTAACCTCACCAAGCAAGGCGGGTGTGGGGGCCCCCAATATGGCGGACACACGAGATTCAGCCCCATGAAAAGCACACAAGCCTGCCTGGTCAGACATTATACACTGTGCCCCACCTGGAGAGCTGGCTCACGCACGACCAAGGGGTCAAACTGCAAGCACAGGCCTGCAGAACCACAGCAATTCCAACATGGCGGAGGAAGCATGGCTCCCATACTTCAGGGACATACTCACACGGCTGAACAGGCACTTCCAAAAGTTCTGGCAGCGACTTGAACGTGCACTCTGTCCACCTGCACCACCACAGCTGTGGACGAGCGGTCCTACCATCCCACCAGCGAACACCTACTGCTTACCGCGGAGACCACCTCCCAAGCTTACAGCACCGACAGTGGGAAAAATTCCTATGTGGCGGCGGCCCCAGTGGCGCTCCCCACTCAGACATAAAGCAACGACACGGAAGCAACCCAGAGGAACCTGCACGGGGTCACAGCCGCAAAAGCCGCTTGGGACGAACCAGGCGGCCACGAAAGGCACAGGGCTCCCCCTCAGGCTGGACACTGACAATGCCACGGAGAAACCGGCAGACACCACCTGGAGCAGTAATGATCCGTGACCCACTAGCTGACCCCCGCTACTACGGAACTGTGGTCCTGACACAGAGAACCATATACTGCTAACTAGATTCTTGCAGTCATATCTCTGCAGTCTCCCATTGCAGGGCATCGGATAAGCACCGTACAGAGACGCTCCCAGCCCGTAAATGGCACTAGCGGTAACCACACCATAGGATGTCCTACTGATATTCAAGGGCAAATTTTTTCAGAAAAGTTGCTTTACATTACACTGTCCGAGATCTGTTTATTTTGACTGCAATACCAATATCATATTGTCTCTAGCATAGGCCTGCTTGTCATATCTGCCAATATACTTAACTCATGTTAACCTACGATAACGCTCCACCCTTTAACCCTGGAAGGCCAGACCATGTAGCATAGCCTGCCTGCCAGACAAATGCAGCCTGATTTAAAATGCCCCTAGGTCATTTTGACACGTATTCCATGCCTCTATATAGTGCATAATATGCCTGACATCTCACCCTCCCACCAATGTCACACCACAGGCACTACTACACTGCTCATCAGTACACACAGCATGCATCACATAACACATCATGGCAATCCCAATGCGCTGTACAAACCGCACAAAACCATGCATTATCACACTGCCTAACTCGCTGTGTCTAACCTGTTACAAAATCCATTCCTGAACGGACGCACTGCATCTCCAGCTAGATAACTCATACCTAGGTAACCAAATGCTCACCCAATGGATTAATATACAGACCAGTATAAGCCTGTTTAACCGTTAACGTGTACTCGATTTGTATAGACCTGTCTGAATCATACCAAGCAGACAAAGCAGATTATCAAACTTACGTCCAACTTTTAATATGTTTAACTTCCCTAGTATGTTATATTATATAAGCAATGTTTATTAGCATGTTAACTAACGATCAAACTGCCACACTTTTGAAATGTCTTGAAAAATGCTTGTAGATGCTGATGTGGCTCTACACGCTTGTTGTCATCATATGCACAAGAAAAATAAAGAATTGAAAAAAAAATTTAAAAAATTAAAAAAGAACAAACCTACGAAAGAAAAATTTAAAGAAATATATGCTCTCCCAGACTTTTCATACACCACAAGAACAAAAAGAAGAGAATTCTACCCGATTTTTCAGATATTAACAAAGTACAACTTAAAATTCATGTGGCGACATCCAACTTCGCTCCAGATTTTACATCATAATGAGTGGAATACATTTAAAACCTTTGAAGCAGCAAACGAGTGGTTGATTCAATCTATATTCACATAAAATTGATACATATTATAGACTATACGAAGGACTAAGAAAATAATGGGTTGTTTTTTTGCAACAATCATGGAAGATATGCTTGCAGTATTATCTTGAAAAGTAATAAATAGTAAGAGGTTATTTTTTTCCGGGAAAATATAGTATGACATTGCACTAAACGCTAACTATAACAATTATTATAACAACAATGCTGCTCCGTAAGTCCGAGAAATACTTCTCATTGAGGAGAATGAGACCAAGGAGAGGTCTGCTCATGGACCACTGATTCCGACAGTCCTTCAAATATGAGGATGATGATGATATTGAGAACAGTGGAGAGCATCTGCTGGATCATTTCAGGGTGGTTGCTGCATAATGTGCAGGAAGGCACTCACTCTCTTGTGGTGGTGGGGGGCTCCTCATTTCTTGCCAGTTTGGGATAACTGTTTTGAAGAGGAGGTATGTGACTACGTGGTTTAGAAAAGCAAGCAAAGAAAATTTTAGCAGTTTCTAATGCAAAGCAGCCAAATGTCAACAAAGGTGTCACTGTGAGAATTAAAGTACCTGAAGTGGACAGAGCAAAAACTGATGCTTGATTTTTAGCTGTGGTTCTTAGTAAAACAGAGGATGGCTTTTATAAACTTGGTACTAAAATGGGTATTTTGAAAAACAATTGTATGCCAAATTGGAATTCATTGTTTGCAAAGAGAGATTTTTAATGAAAGAAGATGTCCCTGCTGTAGAAATATCTTTACATCAAACAGCAATCAAACAATCCCTTGGTACTGGGCAGGGTTTCTGAAAATGTGACTGCAAATCAAAAATGTACCACAAATAGGTGTGCTTGTCGCAAAAAAATGATTGCTATGTAATTTAAAGTGTCGCCAATCTTTAGATTGCACTAATAAGTAAGCATAGTTTTATAATATGTTTGTTTAGCAAATTAATTTCCTTAATCGTTTGACTCTTTCTATTGCAGTTTTGTAACAGAAACTTGCTTCTTTGTTGCTAAATAAATAACATTATGTTAACTTGATTCTTGTTTGATTGTACTAACTTGCTTCTTAAACGTTGCTGTTGTTCCAGCAAAAGATCTTATTTTGCACTTTAACTAGTGCCTAATAGGTAATGTGCAGATGAATTAGGTAATGTGTAGATTACCTAGGTAATGTGAGAAATCTTTGAGAAATGAAACAATTTTCTGCACGTTAACTGATCAGCCTAGTTAATGTGCACATTAACTACGTAATGTGCACATTAACTGATTTCTGCACTTTAACTGTAACATATAGACATATAACTTCAAATTCTAAAATGAATAATTCCTAAAATTCATTTAGTACAAAACCAGAAATTAAATCAAGATATAAACGCAAGAAGTTGAAGAAGTTATAAATAATTTTCAAGCTTCAAAGACCCCAGGCCCTGACGGTTTTTCTTTTTAAACAACAAAAAATATAATCTTATCAAATTTAACAGCAACATTTAATGTAATTGCCACCACAGGCAACATAGCAAAATAACTATTAAGAGCCATTATAAAACCTATTCTGAAACCGAATAAAATTTCAACAGAAATCACGAATTATAGACCTATATCTTTAATCAACACAGATATTAAGCTATATGCTTCGGTTCGTGCCCGAAGATTGAATCTATTACTTCTGGGGCTGATTCCTGTAGATCAAATTGGATTTGTTAGAGGTCGCCATTCTAGTGATAATTCTCGAAGGATCATTGATCTCTTTGAATATGTCCACTCCTCAGGGATGCCCCACCTGACCCTGTTGGTGGATGCAGGAAAGGCCTTTGACAGGGTCAGATGGGGATATATAAAGAAGACTTTAAGGGCATTTGGTCTAGAGGGATGGATTGCGGATGCTATTGGAGTCTTATACATGTGTCCAACAGCCATAATAGTGGGAGCTGATTTCTTTACAGAATGGTTCGACATCACAAATGGGACTAGGCATGGTTGCCACCTGTCCACTCTTTTGTATGTTCTTTCTATGGAACCGTTTGCGATAGCTATTAGAGAAAATTCTGATATAAGAGGTATTACTATTGGCGATTTAGAATTGAAGCTATGTCTCTATGCAGACGATGTTCTGATTTCTATTACTGATCCCTTCATTTCACTTGATCACTTAATGCAAGAGATTCAAAAATACGGGGAGATCTCAAATTATAAAATCAATGTCCATAAAACCACTGCTTTAACTATTAATTTTAACTTCTCCTCTTTGAGTCTCCTAAAAGAGAATTATAATTTTCATTGGACTAAGAAAGATTTTCATTATCTGGGAATTATTATAACAGCAAATCCCAAAAATATAGTAGAGGCCAATTTCTTGAAAATGATAAAATACACTAATAAAACTCTTAAGGAATGGCGCTAGAAATTTCCTGGTGGGGAAGAGTTAACACCATAAAAGCATATTATCCCCAAATGGGCTTATCTTTTTAATATAATTCCATTAAAATTTCCTAAGCCATGGATCGACATGCTTCATCATTCCGTATCTAACTTCATTTGGAAAGGAAAAACTCCAAGATTTAAATCTCAAATTTTAACAAAAAAAATAATCAGGGAGGCATGGCAGTCCCTTTGATTAAGGATGTATAGAATGCTAATTGTGACGAGAGCAACCTCGCCACATTGCATTGGAGAAGCCTGGTTGCCCGCCTGTTGCCTTTGGATTATGGCCCCATGTTAAAAGACTTAATTTCCCCTGCAGAAAAGACTTATTTGTGTTTTTCTGCCCGGTGTTCGGTAGATTCAATCTACCGAGCAACCACACAAATGACTGGACCGCCTGGGAGCTGGAGTGTGTTGGCGATTTACCTCCCAGAAGCTGCGGTTAACAATTACTGAGTGGTTGCGGTTACACCTAGCCGCCACACGATGGCGGTGTTATGGAAGCTCCCCGGGTACCCAGCGCTTGTTCTACCCAGTGGCAGGACACCAAAAGCGGACACTTTTGTCTTCCAAGCCCTGCTGAGGCTGGAAGTCTGCAAACCCGTTAGGGAACCGAACAACGGAGCATTCGGGACTTTTAGTGTTACAATGTATTCGGTGTGAAAGTACCCAGATAGCCTGCCATGGAGCCTGTTCGTGGAATTAAAGACTTTGGCTCCATGGCAATTAAGCTGTATTCATGTGGTCTGAGCGCCATTCGCTTAATAATGTGCGATCAGACATGAGCTATCTGGGGATATGTAAAATGTATATTTTTATTGTAACTTTTGCCACATAGGGTATTTTAATAGTAATTCCTATTCTAGTATCCCCACGTGCATAATGGCGATTTGCCTTTGTCCTGGGAGATAATTGAATTACTTCTCAATTATCTCCAGGGCAGAGGAGAGGAAGCCAGGATGCATTGTGGGAATATAATGTGACTGTGTGTCCTGGATTGCTGCTTGTCTGTCCTTGGTTTCAGTCTCCCATTTGGTCCCCTAGGGGAGTGTCCACCAGGTGGGAGACCTGCATAAATACTGGGCAGGTAGCCCTCATTAAACAGACCACTGCTTGACCCTCAATACGGAGCTCTGTTTCGTCTTTGAGGGGATTTACTTTATGCTGTTAGAGACTGATTGCCAGGAGTGTAAACCACTTGGGTGCTTTTCCTGTTCGTCTGCTAGCAGCTATTCGTGAGGTTCCAGTTCGGGAGTTTGAAGCATTCCCTTGAATGCAGTTCGTGAATTTGGAGCATTCCCTTGTATGCAGTTCGGAGTTTGGAGCATTCCCTTGTATGTAGTTCGGGAGTTTGGTGTTCTGCAGTAGCTGTGCCTGTATCTCTGGAAGGGGAAGATCTTCTAAACGGCAGTTTAACCCTTTTATGCTGAGGGTGCCGTTACACTAATATTATTACCCAGATCCATAAATTTCAGATTCAAGATTCAAGAAATCAAGCCTGGTTTAAGATAGAATCATTTAGAATAAATGAAAAAGATTTAGCCCTCCTGATATGGGATGATTTTACTAATTTCAATTCCCACTTAATGCAACTTAATTCAAGCATTGTAACCCATCTCATAGAAGAATAGCAATTAATTAAAAAAACTCTTAAAATAGCTAAAAAAATATTCGAAGGAGCAAACATTCGACTCCTCAAAAGAGTTATGCCTGACTTCAACCTTAGCACCTAGAGAGCTCATAATGAAATTTTTATCAAAGATCTCATTCAAAATTCGAATTTGTGTTCATTTAATAATTTAAAATTAAAATTTGACATCTCAGATAAAGAAATCTTCACTTACTTAAGCGTTAGATGATTCCTGAATGAATTTCTCTTAAAAACTGGAGATAAGAAGAATTTAATACAAAATCTTTAAAAAAAAAAAAGGAGTCTAAATCAGTTAGCTCCATCGCTATGGATTTAATTAGATAATCATATTCAAATATACAACCTTCAGCTTAAAAACAATGGGAAAAAGATTCCAACCTTAAAATCTCAGACAAGGAATGGTGTTCCCCCTTGAGAGTACTCAAAAAGCATATACACTGCCTTAATATTATCAAAACATTTTTTAAAGTACTTCATAGTTTCAACCAGGCTGGCCAAGATATCTTTGTCTAACTCTCCACTTTGTTGGAGATGTCTAGCTCAGGAAGGACCTATGCTACATATCTTCTTCCAAGAAAGGTGGTGCACCAAGGGTGGTGACACTGAGATTACATCTATTGTTTTATATCTTGATGTAAGTTATTATATTTATTTTTACTACATTTTTAAATGTGCACTACAATTTTATTGCATTTTTTCTTGAGCGCACACCTTCCAGCCAATCCATGAGACATTGAATATAGATGGAGGAATTGATTCTGAAAAGGCATCTATGCTGAAAAAGGAATTTATTCTAAAGGCTTTCTATTTCCAGCGAGAGTGTGAGTGGCCATTTGTGAATTTTACACTTGGTTTATTCATATACACAGTTATACGCTATGTTCTGTTCTTGTCATTGATTTACTCTACATTCTCTTATGTCTGCAAAAAAAGTAATTGCAAGATCATGGAAACAAATATCAACTCCAGATATCTCCCAGTACAAAAAACAATTTATATTCCAGCTTGAAATGGAGAGGGGAGTTGTATATTCAAATAATAATCTTAAGTATATACATCATTATGAACAGTGGATTAGTTCCTCACTTTACTAAATGTTTATATGTATTTATACCCTTCCTAAATGAGTAATACACCAAACAATAATGTATGTATTTAGTTTTTGTAATGTATTGTATGTATTTACAGTTTGTCACTTAATTGTTGTAACAATGTTTGTATAATTGTATGTATAATTCGAAAAATTATTTAAATAAAAATGTATTCATCCTAAAATGTGCACCCTCATGTTTAAATTATCCTTTTAATAGTTTTATAGATGTGCACAAATTTATTAGAAAGTTAAGTCTAAAAAATAGTTTTAATAAACACCCGAATCAGCTTATTAAAGAGACATTACCCACCGCTTTTAAACATCCTGACCTTAAGAAAAAAATCAACTTTTTATCCAAGAAACGAGATAAGTGGCGCAATGAAAGTTTTTGAATCTTTGGTTACTAATGAAATTAGAAAAACTACTTTACAAACAAGAAATAATAAAGGTACTTTTAACTTAAATTTCGCACAAAGAAAAGCTTTAAAAACTAAAAAGAATAACGAAAATATAACGTTGTTAAACCGGCTGATAAAGGGGGAGGGGTAGTGATTCAAAATACAAGTGATTATATTAAAGAAATACAAAGGCAATTAGGAGACCTTAATACTTCCAAAAAACTTGAAGGGCATCCATCCAAATCCTATTTTAAAAGTTATAAAATTTTAATTGAAAAAGGAAAGATTTTAAATATTTTAAATCTTGATGAATTTAACTTTTTAAACATTTCGTTTTTTTTTTAGATTCAACATTTTTATTGTAGTTTTTGAAAAGGATGAGGGAGGGATACAGAAAAAAAGAAAAAAGGGAGGGTGGGGTGGTTTGGGGATAAACATTGATACATTAATACATTGATACATTGTGGTACATAATATAAACATAGAAACATAGAATGTGACGGCAGATAAGAACCATTCGACCCATCTAGTCTGCCCAATTTTCTAAATACTTTCATTAGTCCCTAGCCTTATCTTATAGTTAGGATAGCCTTATGCCTATCCCACGCATGCTTAAACTCCTTTACTGTGTTAACCTCTACCACTCCTTTACTGTGTTAACCTCTACCATGCATCCACTACCCTCTCAGTAAAGTAATACTTCCTGATATTATTTTTAAACCTTTGTCCCTCTAATTTAAGACTATGTCCTCTTGTTGTGGTAGTTTTTCTTCTTTTAAATATAGTCTCCTCCTTTACTGTGTTGATTCCCTTTATATATTTAAATTTTTCTATCATATCCCCCCTGTCTCGTCTTTCCTCCAAGCTATACATGTTAAGATCCTTTAACCTTTCCTGGTAAGTTTTATCCCGCAATCCATGAACCAGTTTAGTAGCCCTTCTCTGAACCCTCTCTAAGGTATCAATATCCTTCTGAAGATACAGTCACCAGTACTGTGTACAATACTCCAAGTGAGGTCTCACCAGTGTTCTGTACAATGACATGAGCACTTCCCTCTTTCTACTGCTAATACCTCTCCCTATACAACCAAGCATTCTTCTAGCATTTCCTAATACATGTTAGTACATCTCGGTACATTGTGTCATAGGATACATTGTTGTATATTGTGGTGTATGGCTGTGGTCGGACTATGGCAGTCTTTACATGTGTCTCGTGGGCAATGTCACAGTGGAATACAATTCCCTCCGGGGGCCAGGTCGGTGCTTCGGTGGGGGTTGCCATATAGAGTGTCTGTCACGTCTTGTATAATATGATTAGGACAATATTGGTGGTTTAGGCAGTTTCTCCCTGTTACACCTACTATGGATACTTGTTCCAATTTTCTTTTGTGTCTGTCATCTATCACCCTTACCAGATTTCTGTGTTGCATGGGTAGCTCCTTGGAGCACGGAAGGTAGTAAATTTGGGTTTCGTAGGCAAATTCAGAGGTTTGTTTGTGTATGGCAAGGTTTTAATGGTTCCTGGTGGTGAAAAGTTCGTAGGGAGATCAGGGGGGGGAAGGAAGAGAAGTCCTTCACATTCCAGATTAATGGGTCGTAGGTTGCGAGACATGGAGATGGGTTAACAATCAGTGGGTGGTAATTTTCAGTGTGTCCCCGCCAGATGTTCTCCAGATGTGTCCGGGTTTGGGGATAGAGAACCTTCTGGAGTGTTGTGGCGGTTGAATGGAGGATTTTGGTAGAGTTGTTTGTCCGAGTATTCTACCCACGGCGCCCAAGAGGATTGTAGGCATCCTCTTTGTGCCGCTGTCTTGGTGTACATGCGTTCATAGGTGTAATATTGTTGGATTTTGGAGGGTTTGGAGGGACAGTGTGGTTGTTTCCACTGGTTTGCGATCAGGTTTCTCACCTCTAGTGCTATGATCGCCATTATGCATTTTATATGCATTGGTGTAGACTGGGGGTAAGAAAGGAATAGTCCAGTATGTATGTCAAGGGATAGTACAGTGATGCCAATGACCTGTAGTGTGTTTTGTGCTGCGTCCCATAGCGGGCGTATGTGTGGACATGTCCACCAAATGTGGGTCATCGTGCCTTTATTGACCCCGCATCTTCAGCAATGTGGGGAAACTGATTTGTACATTTTGTAAAGTCTATGAGGCATTAATTACCATCTGTACACCAGCTTTTTGTGGGCCTCAATGTGTGAGTAGCATTGTGTGAGTACCTTGAGCGCATTGAGGGATGTTAGGACTTCCATGGATAATGCTGTGACAGGGAAGAGGGTTTTGTCTTCGGGGTGTAACGTCTTAGGGGTCCAGAGAGCGTTCACCAAGGGTGTGTTAGAGGATTGAATGGTTTCCATGTCTACCCACTGATATACTCCTTTCGGGGTATGTAATTTCATGGCCGCCTCTAGGTTGGAAATGTACAGTAATTTTGGGAGGAGGATCATTTTAATAGTATTGATCCTACCCAGCCACGACAGCTTCACTGGTTTCCAGTGTAGGCACTCTGATTTGCATAGCGGTCTGTAATTGTGGTGGAATATTTGTTCTAGTGTGGGTGCAATTTTGATCTCTAGGTAGGTGATGTGGTCGGTCCTCCAGTCGAAGTAGTACGTGTGCGTGAAGTCTTAAATAAGGGTTTTTGAAAGGCCTATGGGTAGGGCTTGTGTTTTGGACTGGATTAATTTATAGTATGTAATTTGCCGTATGTGTCCAGGAGTTGCACCAACGCGTGCAGTGATGAGGGCACGTCCCTCAATGTTAGGAGAATGTCATCTGCAAACATGGAGAGTTTGTATTCGGACATGCCTACTGTGATGCCTGGTGTCTAATGATGTATGCCAGTGGTTCCAGGGAGAGGACAAACAGTAGAGGGGGTAGGGGGCACCCTTGTCTGGTGCCATTGGTGATATTAAATAGGGTTGATAGGAAGCCTGCATTGGCAACCTGTGCTGTTGGGGCATTATATAGGGCCATAATGCCAGAAATTATTGGCGGGGTGAAGCCAAAGATATTCAGAACGTGTTGCATAAAGTCCCAATTCCGCCTGTCAAAGGCCTTCTCTGCGTCGAGCGCTAAGAGAAGACCTCTTCCCTGGGTGGTGTGTGTGTGTGTGCTAAGATGTTGAGAATCTTCCTGGTGTTATCTGAGCCTTGTCTCGTTTTAATGAAGCTTGATTGGTCATTATGTGTTAGTTTAGGGAGAATGGTGGCCATTCGGTTCGCTAAGAGTTTGGCGTATAGTTTGACATCTCCATTTAGTAAGGAGATGGGTCTAAAGTTTTGGCATTGTGTCGGGGATTTGGTTTTGGAAGGGTGGTTTTGGAAGGGTGGAGATGTGGGCCTTCAGCATTTCTGGGGGTAGGGTTCCATGTGAGTAGCAGTGGTTGAAGAGTGTGGATAGATGTGGGGATAGGATAGTTGCAAATGTCTAGTAGTAGAGGTTGGTGTATCCGTCTGGTCCTGGTGCTTTGTGTGTGGGAAGTTGCTTGATTACCTTTTCTATTTCCTGGGTGGTAAATGGTGCAGAAAGAGAGTCTACATTTTCGGGGGACAATTTGGGCAGGTCAGCTTGCGATAAAAAGTCTTGGATGGCGGTTGCAGGGGGTGGTGTAATTGTGGGGTCCTCTTTGAGGTTGTAGAGTGTGCTGTAATAGGTGTAGAATGCATCGACTATGTCTTGCGGGTTTGTGAGTTTTTGTTTAGAAGCTGTGTTTATGTAGGCTATCCTCGAGTGAGTGGTGTGTGCTTTGAGCTGTGCAGCTAGTAGTGCACCTGATTTGTTTCCTTGTGTAAAAAAGTTATATTTGTATCGCTGAAGTATGTAGGTTGTTTTAGCTAGTTCTAGGTCTTTTAGTTTGGTTTGCAGTGTGGAAAGTATGTGCCGTAGGGTTGGTTATCTCGGACATTAAAGTAATATAGTCTTTGCATAGTTTCCTGCCTTGATGAGAAGGCCTCTTATGACAGCTTTATGAGCTTGCCAGACAGTGGTTATGTCAATCTCAGGAGTTAAGTTCATTTGGAAGTAAGAAGTGAGGTCTGTCCTAATTTGTTCTGTGATGCGGGGGTCTTGTAGCAGGGAGCTATTTAGTCTCCATGCTCCCTTGCATGCTATGGGAAATTTTTCTGCTAAGGTTAGAGTAATTGGGGCATGGTCTGACCAGGTAATTAGACCTATGCGAGTCATCTGGACTGCATGCATCAGCATGGTCGGTACAAGGAACCTGTCAATTCTGGTATATGTGTTATGTACTGGGGAGTGGAAGGTGTAATCTCGTTCCAGGGGATGGAGGAAATTGTGTTTTAGGTTTTGGTTGCATTGTAGGGATGTTGTTCTGTGTAGTTTCCTGCAGATGCTTTGGCTAGTCTGGGGTGGAGGTGGAATCTAGGGAGTAGTCCAGGAGAAAATTGGTATCTACTCCAATGATAACTTCTCCAAATTTATACATGCTTTCTAAAGCAAATATCTTGTCTGAAAATTCTATTTGGTTGGTATGCGAGCCATATATGTTAATGAGCATGTATGGCTCGTTATTTATAGAGAATTGGTGCAGTAGGTATCTTCCACATTTGTCCCCAATTTTTTTGACCAGTGAGAAAGCCACCTCTTTTCCTATTAAGATGGATACCCCTCGTTTCTTTTTTTGTAACATGAGTGGAAGTCATGAGGGAACAGTTTAGAGCAGAATTTGGGGCGATTACCCCATTTGAAATGGGTCTCTTGGTAGAAGGCTATATGGGCCTTGTGTTTCTTTGCTTCTTCTAGTGCTAGTCTGCGCTTATGCAGGGAGTTTAGGCCTTTGGTGTTAAGAGAGATATTAAGTGTCATCAATAGGGGGGTGCCGGACTGCTGAGTTGATATGGCGGTAAAATGGGGAATTCCCCATGGTGTCTAGGGTTGGTAGTGGTATTTTATTTTGTGATGGTGATGTTCGTAGTTCTCCCGGTTTGACCCACATGAGAAGGGTGTTTTTCCTGGTGTTGAATTTAGTATGTAGTATCACATATACGTGCTTGCTTTCAGTTAATATGGGTGGGAGGTGTGGGACATCCATCTCCAGGTGTTTGTTTAGGTTGGTGGCGCCTTCCAGGGGGTTGTGATATTGTGGATTTATCGGGGTTGGTGGTTTGTTGTGAATACCGAGTGTAGTTGTCATTCGTGTACCAATGTAGTGTGGGTCAGTCACTAGGTGCTGTAGCAGCTGCCTGAAACCATACAATAAAACAAGTGAGTAATCAAAACTATGTACAAAAAAATGTCGTTTGGAGTGCCCAGAGGCATAGACGGTAACAACATGAACATGGCTCCGGTGAGTCTGCTGGGGTGGTGGGTAGCAACAGACTACTCAATCCTTAGTAGCTTTTAGGGTTGTGTATGCCCCAGTCCTGTGCATCACCGCAGCAGCTGGGCCTAATCCAAGGGCCCCTGTGCTGTGACCAGGCTTAATATGGGGTTTCTAGGTGTGTGGAGAGACCATTAGTGATGTGGAGGATGGGAACAGTTTATGCATTGTCATGCCAGTATAGGTGGTCTGGGCGTCACCTCAATGGCTGGGCCCAATATAGCGATTGTGCAACGTGCATACAGAGAGAGAAAAACAAATTAGTAAACCATAGGTGTGTGACAACCATGAATAACATAAAAATAAACATTAAGCATCTCTTATATATGAGGATATCGGGCCAGCGTGCCCAGATGTGTGAGGTGGGAGTAGGGAGTATGCATGAAGTGTTATGACCGTATAGGTGATTCAGTCAGAGCATGTGTGCCCCGTCCCTTGAGCGTCGCCGCAATGGCTGGGCCTGATCCTGGGGCCCCGGCATTGTAGCAAGGCCCAACATGGCAAATACCTTACGTGCTTACAGTGAGAGAAAAGCAAATAGTTAAACCATAGGTGTGTGAGAGCTATGGATAATGTAAAAATAAACACTCAGTGTCTCTTACATATAAGGATATCTAACTAACGTGCCCAGATGTGTGAGGTGGGAATAGGGTGTATGTATGAGGTCACTTAGCTGTGGCTACAACATTCCAGTTGGTTGGGACCTTCCGTGGAGATCTTTGGGGCCTTTGCTGAACGCTTTGGTTAAGTTGTTGTGGTAGATAATTATCCCAATCTCTTAGGAGCCTTTTGCCTTCTTCCATGGTAGTGATGTGCCGCTCTGTGCCGTTGCGACGGATGATCAGGCGGGCCAGGAATCCCCAACTGTAGAGGTTGTTGGCATCTCTCAGAGGCTTTGTAATGAGGGTTAATTCTTTTCTCTTCATAAGGGTGGAAGTGGAGAGATCTGTGAAGAGATCCGGTAGTGCTTGTGCATTCCTGGAGGCCCGCATTATCCTTTCTTTAGTGGTATAGTAGTGGAGCTTTGCGATAGTGTCTCTCGGGACCGTGGTTGGGAGAGATTTAGGTTTCGGAAGGCGGTGTATGTGGTCAATGAGGCATTCTTGATGCGTGAGGTCTGGGACCAGAGCTTGAAAGAGGCTTATAGCGTAAGCTTGGAGGTCTTGGGGCATGACATCTTCAGAGATGCCGCGGAGGCGGATATTGCTGCGTCTGTCTCTGTCTTCATGGTCCGCCACTTTATTGGTAAGATAGTCCAGTTTTGCCCTCATCTCGGTATATGCATCCGCTAATGTATTGTGTGCAGAGATAATTTCCTCTGTCTTCTCTTCAAAGTGTGCTGTTCTATCACCCAGCGCTGTATATCCATCCTTATGTCACGTGTAATTTTTGTAATGTCAGCTTGCAAGGAGGTTTGCATGGCTTGTAGCATTTTGTGGCCTGAAAGGTCGGTTGCAGGTGCTGCTATGGGTTCAGAGACTGATGTAAGGGTGCTGTGGTCCGAGTAGGCCACTGGTGATCTCAGGGTGTCGGCGCCATCTTGGGCCTCTGAGCGTTGCGATGTCAGTGCCGATACCTGTAGCAGAGTTTGCTTGTGTTTCTTTTTTTTGCCAATTTCGATGCCATAGTGGACAGGGGTGTTGTTGAGGTCCAATTTAGGTAATTTGGGGCACGCAACGCTAGTATAATCGCTGTATAGGGTTGGTATTTTGCGGAGCTAGCATCGCATGCGACTGTCTTGTTGAGCTGTCAGGCCATGCCCCTAACATTTCGGTTTTTAAGACCCCAGTCTTGTATATCCTTCCCAAAATACATAAAGATCCTAAGAATCCCCCTGGCAGGCCCGTTGTGGCTGGAGTTGACTCACTTACAAGTCGTCTATCTCAGTATATTGATAGACTTCTTCAACCCTTAGTGGTATCTCAACCCACTTTTCTCAAAGATTCCACCCAATTAATTAGAGAATTATCTAATATCCAGTGGAAAGATCAATACTATCTGGTAACCTGCAACGTAAGTAGCTTTTACACTATTATTTCTCACAAATTAGGGTGTGAGGCAGTGGCACATTTTCTTCAGTTGGGTGGTTTTTTAGAATGCCAATTAGATTTTATTTTGGAAGCTATTAAATTTATTTTAGGCCATAACTACTTTTGGTTCGAGTCATACTTTTTGCAACTCATCAGTAGCACGATGGTGACCAGGTTCACGCCGAACTATGCTAATTTATTTATGTCCTGTTGGGAGGAATCCTTCCTCTTGGGCAATGGCGTGCCCGGTGAAGGCCTGGTCCACTACCATAGGTACATCGATGATGTATTTTTTATATGGGACGGTGACCAAAATTCCCTTGACTTATTCTTAAAATTTTTAAATCAGAATGACAGAAATATTACGCTAACGTGTGAATATAGTAAATCAAGTGTACATTTTTTAGATCTTGAGGTTTTTGTTGACGATAACAATATTAAAACTCGTACCTTTTTTTTTAAAAAGTGGACACTAATAGTTTTATTGATGTAGAAAGTTGTCACTATGCACCCTGGTTGCAAAACATTCCAAAAGGCCAATTCTTAAGGATTTTTTTAAAATTATAGTAGTAAGAATGATTTTATGTCCCAATCTAATTATTTAAAAGATCAGTTTTTAGCCAAAAAATATGATCCTGTACTTCTAGATAAACAGCTATTGGAAGTCAGTACCCTTGATATGGCCCATGTTTTAGAGTACAAACCAATAAAGAAAAAGGAAAATAAGAATGATTTTAATTCAAGAGGCATCCCCATCATTCTAGACTATAACAACAGGTCTAGACATATTAAACATATTATAAATACATTTTGGCATGTTTTAAAAAGTGACCCAGATCGTAATAAAGTGATTGGAGATAAACCAAATATAATTTATCGAGGTGCTAGAAATAATCAAAAGCAACTTACTATCCAGTTTTAGTAAACCAATTAAAACTAACTTTACTTTTAATCAAAAAAATGGTTTTTATCCATGCAAAATGTGCTCCAACTGTAAAATAACAAATTTTACTAAGGATACTAGGACTTTGTTTATATCAAATATAACTGGTAAAAAATTTGAGGTTAAAGATATTTTAACATGTCACACGTCTAATGTGATATATCTCGTCTGGTGCCCATGTGGGCTGCAATATGTAGAAATGACAACTAGACGTTTAAAGACGTTATTGCAGAACACATGGGCAATATACGGAGGGGATATGCCAAGCACAGCGTTTCCGATCACTTTTTAAAGCACCATAATAAAGATCCATCACTATTATCTTTTATGGCTATTTTTAAGACATCTCCCAATTGGAGAGGGGAAGACAACTTCAAGGAACTATGCAAAATAGAAAGTAAATGGATATTCACTTTAGATTCCTTGTCCCCAAATGGGCTTAATTTGGATTTTGAATTGTGTCATTTTTTTATAATCCTTATTTTAGCCCCTTTTTTTTTCCAACATCAGAAAGGTATTTATCCCATTGTCTCTTCATAATAAAATAAATACCTATTTTCCCCTTTTGATACTGTGTTTACACTTTTTTTTTTGCTGTCGTTTTTGTATCTGTTTTAAGTGTATTATATTTTTTAATATTGTGCCCCTTGTATATTTTTTTTACCTGCATAATACTTCATCTCTTATTGCAGTAGTATTTATTTTTCTATTTTCCTTTTTTATTCGGGCTCTATTATAAGCACTTTTGCCCATATCGAACATGGGACTATAATGAACCTGCCCTTACTTCAATGACCTATGGACTGGAAGTGATGTAATCATGTCATGTGACGGGAAATGATGATGTGCATTTGCCATTTAGGAAGTAAGAAGATACACAGCCGGGATAGATTGGAGACTTATTAAGAAGGGTATTTAAAATCACAGAGGAGAGAGCACCGCAGCATTGAAGAAGACTCCAGCTGGAGTTGAAACGCGTTTGCTGCTAGACCAAAGAATTGTATCTGGGACTTTTTCTTATTTACTCTCCGGTGTTTTATTTAGGCTTTGTGCCTGGAATATTTTACTATTTATACACTGCTTATTGTCCCTGTTTTAATTGTTTATTTGTTTAATACATTTTGGATTCTGCACTTTGTATCCTGTGCTGCTCTCCTCGAGGATATCATTTTAGCATTATTTTTAACTACAACAACAAAAATGGTTTTATAAAAAAGATAGTAAAAAAGCATTGGCACCTTTTAATGCAAGATGATCTCTTAAAGGAAATTTTACATCAAAAACCGAATATCGTTTTTAGAGGTGCACCCAATTTAAGAACTATCGTAACTAAAAATTACACTAAAGAAAATAAACCAATTACTAACTGCACATTTTTAGAAGGAGTGAAAGGATTTTATAAATGTAAAGAGCACTGATTCCTCTACTCAGTCCAAAGTCACCCATTTTAAATCAAACAAAACTAATAAAATGTATAATATCAAAGACTTTATTGGGTGCAATACCAAAAATGTAAGTTACCTACTGGAGTGCGCATGTGGCCTCCAATATGTAGGTATGACTACAAGATGCCTAAAAACGAGATTAAGTGAACATTGTAGAAATATTAAAAACAGATATCTAAACCACTCAGTATCAAAGCACTTTATTAATCATAACAAAGATCCTAAATTCCTTAATTGTATAGGACTAAAAAAAAATTAAGATACCATGGAGAGGTGGAAATATTAAAAATATTTTATACAGGTTGGAAATGGAGTGGGTTTTTAATTTGCAGACCCTAGCCCCACATGGCCTAAATGTCGATTTTGACTTGCATAACTTTTTGTGATCTCTTTTATGTTTTTATTTAAATACAATTTCATGGTTCCTTTTTAAGTTTTAAATATA